ACAACCCAGAAGATAATCACCTTCAGAACATTTTTGTTCTGCCTGTTACTTCGAAGTTCATTGTACTTTGCAGTTAATTAATCCTTTTCCTCTTCTCATGCCCTTCACCAGTTTTTGACTACAATTTTCTGATGTGCAAATTCTATTTTTTATTTGACAGGAATGTGAAATTGCTGATAGGGCCATAAGAACTGATTTGTTATCTATGGAGCGTCTTCTGGTGCATACGATATATGTTCGGACACGGAGTCGTCTCACAGAATTGAAGCAAGAAGTGCAAACTATGATGAAGGATGTGGAATGTAAGTAAATGCAATGGACGGGGATCAGGTGAAGTGGGATGTGAAGTAATCGTTCCTATTTTTAATCGGCATATTTGGAATTACTGCACAACAGTGCCAAGATGTGGTGTATGCTCTCAAGCTGTGGAAAGTATGATTTTGTGGCACGTTTCTTGTTCCACACGTAACTGTTGAATTTGAGACCCATTCCATCAAACATATGTAGTACTTGGAATGTTGTAGAGATTCTCTGAAATGTGTGTGGTATTCACTTGCAAGCATTGATGTAATAGATCTACTTTTTATTATACTTCTTCTTTTTCCTGTTTAACCATGTTTGTACATTTTCCGGTACCGTTTACGGGTCCCCAACTTTTTAGTTGACTTGATCTATGGACGTTCGGTAGGACTCCTTGGACGAGGGATCGGCCTGTCGCAAGGCCTCTACCTGTACACAGGACAACACAACACAGAAAAACATCCATGGCTTGAGTGGGATTCGAACCCACGGTCCCCGCGACCAAGGGGCACAAGGCCCACGCCTCAGACCGCGCGGCCACTGTGACCCCGTTTTTTATTATACAAGAAACAATAAGCAGTAATGTGTGTTTGGACATGCTAGAATATTAGGCTTTTCCACAGCTTGAGGGGCGTGCTTTTATATCATGTGGATTCATCTTGTATGGCGCAACAGCCCGAAGTCGAGCCTTGGCCTCCTCCCATGTGGGAGGTTTAAATATCTTTGAAGCGTAGCGAGTGACAAGCCCACTGCCTCGGCTCAATTTCTACTAAATCCTGATTTGTCTGCTAGAGCCATCTAGAAGTGAATCAGGAGAGACACGGGTGAGAAATGGCCGCTGAATTCTGCTTACGAATCATCTCGTTCTTGCTCGTAAGGTTCCTCTACATGCCATGAATCTACGACTTGGGACTGCCAGATTTGCTTCCCCTCCGAAGGAAGCTACAGATTTTTATCACCCTTTAAAATCGATTGACCTCGGCTGGATTTGAACCCGCGACCATATGTGGATTATATTTGTATATATTCATGTAGCTGAGAAACGGGAGGTTCGTCAGTGCTTGTAGTATTTTTATTGGTGGCAAAGATGGTCCAGAATTTATTTGTTACTGGTGACTTTCAGATGGAAAATTTGAATGATTGTAAAGAAGCCTTGAATGATTTGTTGGCTTTTTCCTTCACACTGGGCAACTTTCAGCTTATATTAGGTTCGAGACAGGACGACTAATGATGTGGGTTATTTTTGTTTTAGAACTTTTATCAATGAAGACTTGCTTTTTCAGGCCATCTGCAAGGTTCTCCTGCTATCTTGTCAGTTCCAGTTCTTCAGCCGTGCCTGCGGGCTGAACAGTTGCTTGTCACTGTGGACACACACACTGGAATGTTACAGTGCCATGTACCGCAGTATGAGGCTCCTCTTATACCTGAATTGCAAACAGCTCTAAATGGAGATCATTCCCGCCTTCCTACATTGGTGTCTGAACTTCGGTATGGCTTGTAAAATATGTAGTTAAATTTAGAAAACATTGCTTATGTGTGCTGTTGTATAAATTCTTAAATTTATGAACAATCGAATTTTGTAAGGGGTACCACCGATCCCCTTTCCGACAGAGATCGGGTATGGATGAGACCGGGTACAGCAGATACTGGATACGGCCGAGACCTGGTCTGGGAGGGAGCGGGGCTGGCAGAGGGAATGGGTGTGAAGAAATTTAAAAAAAAAAATTCAAAATTTTCGAAAAATCAAAAAATGTAGGAAAATGTCCAAAAAGCGCACAGAACTAAATTTTTTTGAAAAATTCCGACTTAAAATTTTGTTTCGAAAATTTCGATTTTTTTTTTTATTTTCGTTTTTTATGACATTTATAACCATTTCTAAATTTTTGACATTTTCGAATTTTGAAAGGGGTACCATCAACACCCAGTCCGGTAGAGATTGGGTCCGTCAGAGACCAAGAACGGGTGAGGAAGAGACAATGTACGGCAAAGACCGGACACGGCCGAGACCGGGTTAGGTAGAGAGCGGGTCCAGCAGAGAGCATGATTGGGAAGAAGTTTTAGAAAAATATTCAATTTTTTTCAAAATTTTCGAAAAATGTAGGAAAATGTCCAAAAAGCGCACAAAACTTTAAGTCCTATTGATGTTGGGTACATTGATATGTGTCAGTCTCTATTTATGAGTTATGTAGTTTAGTTATTTTCGATTTTTATGACATTTATAGCCATTTCTAAATTTTTGAAAATTTTTAGAATTTTGAATGGGGTACTATCGACACCCGGTCCGGAAGAATGGGTGCAGAAGAGACCTGGTGAGGTAGTGAACTGGTAGGGGTGAAGCGGGTCCAGCGGAGAGCATGAATGGGAAGAAGTTTTAGAAAAATATTCAATTTTTTTCAAAATTTTCGAAAAATGTAGGAAAATGTCCAAAAAGCGCACAAAACTTTAAGTCCTATTGATGTTGGGTACATTGATATGTGTCAGTCTCTATTTATGAGTTATGTAATAAAACATTACTACTTTTCAGACTGCAGAGAAATCATTGTTGGAAAACTGAATTTTGATCGTGTGAGAGATTTCTTCTGGTTTTTGTATCCAGCAGATGTGACTCGGATTTACTTCTTTGCCAGCATTCTTTTGTAATCCTTATGTTGTCCACAAATTCAATCAAAGAGTCTATATTGCTGCCACATGTAACCCTTTGAGGCCAAACTTCTTCTAAATAAAATTTGAGATTTCAGTCCATACTGCAAACAAAACGCGACACATCACCATTACAAAGATCATCTGCTTAATTGCTGTTTAAGGAAATATAGCTGTTAGTGCTGACAAACAAAGAATATTAATACAAAATACAGAGTTGTTGATTGTTAAAGCAGGTAGAACGTACAGTTACTGCTGGGTTTTAAGGGGTTAAAGTATGAAGTCCCACAAGGCTTTAAACTTGCATAAATGTCTTTATTTTTTGATTGAATGTAAATTATCAGTAAGATAATTATTTCAGAACTGTGGAATATATAGACATTTAATTAATTAATTAGTAAATTATTGCAGTATAATGGTGACACTGGGTGTGGCAGGGGAAACGCATGATTTTCAAATAACAATAACCCAGTTGATTTTCAAGTTAAAAAAAATTAATTGCACAAAAAGAAAGGTTTTACAATGCAGTTTTTGTTGAACACTTTTGAATTACTTCTGAAAAATAACATCCGTCAAGTGACGCCCTTCCTTCTGTACGCACTCTTGCAGCCTCTCCTCAAAATTCTGCATTGCTCTTCCCAACATTTCTTCCCCCACAGTAGCGATGTCCTGGTGAATAGAATCTTTCAGTTCCTGGATGTTGCGTGGTTTGTTTTTGTAGACCTTTTATTTGAGGTAACCCCACAAAAAATAGTCATATGGACAGATCAGGGGAGCGAGGCGGCCAAGGGATATCACCGAAATGGGAGATGAACGGCAATTATGGATTCACCACTTTTGATATAATTTTCAACGACAAACACCCGATGCTCGCGGGTCCACGGTGCCATGGCTACTGAAACTGCATCATCTAAGCTGTCTACTAGCAAGGGGCGGAAATCCCCCACCCTCCTCCTTGCCGAGTACTAGCCATTCGAAAAACATGCGTTTCCTTGGCCATACCCAGTATGAAATAAATTTAATTGTTTGATTCTTGAAAACAGTTTTTATTTTTCCATTTGGTTAATTGCAGATTTTTCTTGTAAAAGTTTTTTAACTTTTTATTTGCCCATCAGATCAATTTCAGTTTTCAACTTGGTCTGTCTAGTATCTGATTTTATTATCTGTTCATATGCAAAATACTTGCAGGTATTGGATAACGCAGCGGCGATGTGAGAAAACTCTTCAACATCTTCCTGCCACACCCCATGAGAGGTTACCATTGTTGCATCATCCAGATCATCCAATGTCTAAAATTGGGCGACATCGTATGTTTGTAAGGCTTCATAAACATCCCAATGTTATTTTGGTAAGAGATGTTAATTTATTAACTACAATGTTTGCATATTTTGTGATGATGAAAGTAAAAACTAAGTAAAGCTGTCCCACTATGCACCATGTAGGCGCTTCAGTGGAGAGTTACTCGAGTCATTTAAAAGAAGACTTCGAGTTACTTGTGTGCAGCAAGTGTGTCATGAGTCATGCAACAAATGTCTGGGTGATATTTAAGGTGGCCAGAGCTCTTACCTATGTAGCTGTAGCTTTTCATCACAAAGTTATCATACTAGCATATAATCGAGTCTTTTGAAGTTGAAAATAGATTACAGTGTTTTAGAGGTGCTTGCAGGGCAGCAAACACCTCTGTAATGTCAGTAAACTTGTGCTAGACTACACAGTGCAACAACCCAAAAGACGGCCATTTTCATGCTTGCCACTATGAGAACCTGAAATATCACTCCTTTGAAGGAGGTTTTCCCTTGAACTTTGTTCAGAACCAGTGCTGTACTCCAGTGGTCCCCAACGCAGTGCACGCGGGCGCCATGGCGCCCACCAAGGCTTTTTTTGGGTGCCCGTGTTGTTACGGAAAGAGGTTATACTGAATAATGAAGGCCGTTCAACCATGAACATTATAAAATCAAAGCAAAGATCTCGACTTACTGATGCCCATCTTGACGATTGTTTGCGAGCAGCAACATCATCCTACACTCCCAAATTTGAAAAACTGGCCGATGAAATGCAGCGCCAAACATCGCACTTGAGTAATAATAATTGTACTTATAAAACTACGTATTTTTGATTGCACGGTTTCTTGTATAATTAGACGTTGTGTCGTTTTGCGTATTATTTGGTTTCCATATCTTATTTGTCCAGAGAAAAGAAAATTTGGCTTTGTTAATTGGTTGGCGCCCGCCACGAACTCATAAACTCTCAAATGTGCCCGTAGGCACAAAAAGGTTGGGGACCACTCTTTTCACAGATTTTGAATCATGAAACTAAAGGAAACATTTAGCTTTTTTGTTGTTACAACACCATTTTGTACTATGGACAAATCATCTTAATCATTCCGGAATGTTGTATGCTTCTATAAATCTTTACTGTATATAATTTGAATCCTGTGTATGAAAATACTTGGTCCATAGCAAAATACTGTAAGCAGGTTTCACTGTATCTATTTGATATAAAAAACTGACTGTTTCTGAAGATTGCTGTCTTCTGGGTTAACGCCCTGATGATGGAGGCAGACTAGACAGCGCAATAACCCAGAAGACAGCAATCTTCGGACTCACCGCTGTGAAAACCTCAAATCGTACATAACTGTTTCTGTTTTAATATTGTTCTGTTTCTTTTTGCAGATTGTTGAGTTCAAGGAGAAGGAATCAACTCAGTGTGAAATAGACTGCTCGTTTTACTTGGCTGTAGTGAAACACTCTTCGATTGAGGATGATCCCCATGATGACAGTATTGAAACTGAGATTCCAAAGATGTATCTCAAAGTTCTCACACTGATCGAATTTGACACGTTTGTCATAACACATGGTCCATTTACAAGTGTGGACGGTATGTTTTCTCTTTGACGAATTGCATGCACTGAAATCTATTGTGATACCATAGTCTTCTAGGTGGTTACCAGTGTTTTGGAAGAATGTATTGCGCCTGTCTTCCACGCTGAAGATGTAGGTGATACGGTCTTCTTAAACATTGTTGACCGCCTACACATCATTGGAACCGAGAAAATCACACACAACATTTCTGTTGCCATGGGAACTTGAAATCTCACATATTGAAATATAATTTGCGTATTTTGTTCTGTTTATCATATGCATACATGGGAGTGTCTTTGTCTTCCTCTCCCTAATTTTCCAGTAACTCGTGGATCATTTGGTCAGTTTTTATTAAGTTTGAAGTTCTTGTCACCGCTACACATTTAACCCCATAATCAACGCAGTGACGTCTCATTTAAAGTCATAATTAATTTGTCATCTACCTACTGGCACTGTTACTTTTTATTTGGCGCTTCATGTGATGCAGTGATTACTTCCTTTAGGAGAGCCGTCTACCTTGGTCCTACTATTCTGTTTTAAACAAATGTTTAAATAATAAGTAGAAAGTGCTAAATTAAAATATGATGCTTTTACAGAAATAAAACTGAAAGGCTTCTACAAGTTTGTGTGAGGAAAATTTATCTTCATATGTCTCAGATCTCAGATTTTGTATATACAGTCTCACTGTGATCGTCATCACGACCTACAGAACCTTATAGTGGAACTCTGTATTTACACTTTCTGGGGATTTGTGAAAAAAGTATGTAAATTGTGGGAAAGTATAAATGTATGAAGATTTCTGTCTTCTGGGTTGTTGCGCTGTGTAGTTTGGTCGATGTTAACCAACGTTTCAGAGGTCATACTGCCTCCGTCATCAGAGTATGAAGATTTCTGTCTTCTGGGTTGTTGCGCTGTGTAGTCTGGTCGATGTTAACCAACGTTTAAGAAGTCATCAGGGCGATGTTTCACAGCGCAACAACCCAGAAGACAGAAATCTTCATACTCACCGCTGCAATAACCTCAAATCTTATATATAAATGTATGATCTGAAGCGTAAGTATAAAGTATAGTTGGCAAGAAATGCAAAATTGTAAGCTTAGTTTGGTAAATTTCTGCCAGAATACACAGCACTACAACCCAGAAGACAGCCATCTAAGTACACTCTGAGTCAGAACATAGTGTTACCAGTTCAGATTACTAATAAAGATGGAATGGTTCATAATATTAGAGTTCTCGACCTGAGTGTCTTATTACCGTTGTTCTGCAGATCAGAGTGAGAAGTTTCCTGGAAAACGTAAACCTGGAGGTAGGCAAGAACCTGGGTCTCGACGGACAAAGCATCCTGCATACTTTATCCCTGAATTGGCGCATGTGGTGGCTCTGTGTGATGAAAGGATTCCTTTTGTGACACTAGCACAGGAGGTGAGTATTATATATGTATTATTAAAGCCGTCCCGCTACACGCCAAGTAGGTCGTTTGATGGGAGTGGAGGTATAGCTCCTCTCTTCCTTGACCTCGGCCCCGGCCACGCTTTACCCCCAGGAAAGGACTCTGGTACCCATTGGATAGGAGGCTGGGTGGGCCCCAGAGCCGGTCTGGACGCAGAGGCTAGAGGAAAAATCCTCTGCCCACGTCAGGGATCGAACCCCGGTTATCCAGTCCGTAGCCAGTCACTATACTAACTGAGCTATCACGGCTCTGTATAAGTATTATATAGTTCGTAATTAAGCAAGTAAGAGCCATAGAAGAAGAAGAAGAATTAAGCATTATTAAGGGTCAACTTTAGTTTTACGTAGTTACTGTTATGAGACTACTGTCGCTGCTACTGTTACTATTAATAGACTGAATGAACTCTGTATGTAGCATGGTCTTCGCTTTTGTAGCTGACCAAACGTGAAATTGCGCACCAAGGACTGCAAGTTGAAGCAAATGCCACAGCATTAGTATTACGCTTGGTTCAGCTTCCACCTTCACCAGGAGTTGATACTCAGTCAGCCTCCTGGCTTGCGTTACTGAAACGTTTACTCTCTGTGGCCATCAGAGTTCAAGGAAAGGCCACAAAGAATTGGATGGCAGAATTTGTGTTCTATGGTAGCCCTCTTGCAAGTTCACATCCTAAGGAACAAGGTATGTTAATGTCCTGTTATGTTGAATGTATTTGATACGCGGTACAGAATAGCTTCGGAAATACAGTGGGCCCTTGACGTCCGTTGTTAATGAGTTCCTTAAAAGTGTGTCAGTTAATATACTGATCATCATTTGATATGGCATTGCAAGTATTTGTTACAAGCGTCGTCTTGAATTGTGCAGGCTTGTCATGCTAGTCTGACAATGAGTAAAGCTTGAGTATTTTAAAATTTTATTTTTTTATTTGTAGTGTTCTGGCTGACGACAGGTCCATATATCATGAACAGGATCCTTCCAACCTCTTCAGGTTGTCAGGGACCTGCTCATACATATATACATTCTTGGCAGAGATGATCAGAAGTGGTTTGCCATTGCCTTCTTCTGTGTGTGAATGGAGTAATTGTTGGGATGCCACGGAGAAACCGGGGAAGCCCCCGGAGGAAAACTCCGTGATGCCTAGACCACGGCCTTGCCCAACACAAGTTATAAATTTGAGCACCACCGGGAATTGAACCCGGGACCCCAGGCTTACAAGGCTAGTGTTCTGACCGCTAGACCACCGTGGCGAGACTTTTTTTATTTTTTTTTTAAATATTGGTTTATTTCTATCCTTTCATGTTGAAAAACCAACAGCACTCCTCTTCTTCTTAAAAGTGAATAAATTTAAGAAAGAACATAAACAATTGCAAAGAATTGGATTATAAATTATACGCTATATTGACAAGGTGATTTAAAAACGTGATTGGATTTTGAAGCACTGGCAAAACCAGTAACAACTGAACTGTTCTGGACGATAGAAGTGCTTCTTCATTTATGAGACATGAGTAACATAGAAGAAAGTGGAGAATAAAATTGTGCGTAACAAAGTAACAGTGGAGTGTCAACACCTAATACCTTGACTTCTCTGAATGAGGGTTAATTGCCATACTACAAAACCAGAGCACAATTGGAGGGTTTCAGTTGATTGGGGTTCCGATGTTATGTAGAAGCTTCTATATATCATTCATGGACACTGTATCTGGTGGCGCTAAAGAAGTTTAACCCTTCGAAGCTGAAGTTTGTCTATATAATATTTAAAAATTTATTCTGTACCCCATAGAAAACAAGTATTAACTATTACAAGATCAACTAATTAATGCTTTTTAAGGAAATAATTGCTTTTTACACCAAGAATCTACTATAAAAATTCGTGATTCCCCGTTGTCGTCATCCAATTTGTCGTCAAAAAATGACGTCATCAAACAATGTTACGTTATATTTGTTTACTCGGCATTGTTGTACCAACACAACAATGCCGAGTAAACAAATGACTTGAGTAAGACACTAAACTAACCCCCCAAGATTTTAAAACGCAACCAACCCCCCCGAAGGGGAGATTGGTCAAGTGTTTTAACCCCCCATTCGGGGGGTTGGTTTAGTTTCTTACTCAAGATTTTAAAACGCAACCAACCCCCCCGAAGGGGAGATTGGTCAAGTGTTTTAACCCCCCATTCGGGGGGTTGGTTTAGTTTCTTACTCAAGATTTTAAAACGCAACCAACCCCCCCGAAGGGGAGATTGGTCAAGTGTTTTAACCCCCCATTCGGGGGGTTGGTTTAGTTTCTTACTCAAGATTTTAAAACGCAACCAACCCCCCCGAAGGGGAGATTGGTCAAGTGTTTTAACCCCCCATTCGGGGGGTTGGTTTAGTTTCTTACTCAAGATTTTAAAACGCAACCAACCCCCCCGAAGGGGAGATTGGTCAAGTGTTTTAACCCCCCATTCGGGGGGTTGGTTTAGTTTCTTACTCAAGATTTTAAAACGCAACCAACCCCCCCGAAGGGGAGATTGGTCAAGTGTTTTAACCCCCCATTCGGGGGGTTGGTTTAGTTTCTTACTCAAGATTTTAAAACGCAACCAACCCCCCCGAAGGGGAGATTGGTCAAGTGTTTTAACCCCCCATTCGGGGGGTTGGTTTAGTTTCTTACTCAAGATTTTAAAACGCAACCAACCCCCCCGAAGGGGAGATTGGTCAAGTGTTTTAACCCCCCATTCGGGGGGTTGGTTTAGTTTCTTACTCAAGATTTTAAAACGCAACCAACCCCCCCGAAGGGGAGATTGGTCAAGTGTTTTAACCCCCCATTCGGGGGGTTGGTTTAGTTTCTTACTCAAGATTTTAAAACGCAACCAACCCCCCCGAAGGGGAGATTGGTCAAGTGTTTTAACCCCCCATTCGGGGGGTTGGTTTAGTTTCTTACTCAAGATTTTAAAACGCAACCAACCCCCCCGAAGGGGAGATTGGTCAAGTGTTTTAACCCCCCATTCGGGGGGTTGGTTTAGTTTCTTACTCAAGATTTTAAAACGCAACCAACCCCCCCGAAGGGGAGATTGGTCAAGTGTTTTAACCCCCCATTCGGGGGGTTGGTTTAGTTTCTTACTCAAGATTTTAAAACGCAACCAACCCCCCCGAAGGGGAGATTGGTCAAGTGTTTTAACCCCCCATTCGGGGGGTTGGTTTAGTTTCTTACTCAAGATTTTAAAACGCAACCAACCCCCCCGAAGGGGAGATTGGTCAAGTGTTTTAACCCCCCATTCGGGGGGTTGGTTTAGTTTCTTACTCAAGATTTTAAAACGCAACCAACCCCCCCGAAGGGGAGATTGGTCAAGTGTTTTAACCCCCCATTCGGGGGGTTGGTTTAGTTTCTTACTCAAGATTTTAAAACGCAACCAACCCCCCCGAAGGGGAGATTGGTCAAGTGTTTTAACCCCCCATTCGGGGGGTTGGTTTAGTTTCTTACTCAAGATTTTAAAACGCAACCAACCCCCCCGAAGGGGAGATTGGTCAAGTGTTTTAACCCCCCATTCGGGGGGTTGGTTTAGTTTCTTACTCAAGATTTTAAAACGCAACCAACCCCCCCGAAGGGGAGATTGGTCAAGTGTTTTAACCCCCCATTCGGGGGGTTGGTTTAGTTTCTTACTCAAGATTTTAAAACGCAACCAACCCCCCCGAAGGGGAGATTGGTCAAGTGTTTTAACCCCCCATTCGGGGGGTTGGTTTAGTTTCTTACTCAAGATTTTAAAACGCAACCAACCCCCCCGAAGGGGAGATTGGTCAAGTGTTTTAACCCCCCATTCGGGGGGTTGGTTTAGTTTCTTACTCAAGATTTTAAAACGCAACCAACCCCCCCGAAGGGGAGATTGGTCAAGTGTTTTAACCCCCCATTCGGGGGGTTGGTTTAGTTTCTTACTCAAGATTTTAAAACGCAACCAACCCCCCCGAAGGGGAGATTGGTCAAGTGTTTTAACCCCCCATTCGGGGGGTTGGTTTAGTTTCTTACTCAAGATTTTAAAACGCAACCAACCCCCCCGAAGGGGAGATTGGTCAAGTGTTTTAACCCCCCATTCGGGGGGTTGGTTTAGTTTCTTACTCAAGATTTTAAAACGCAACCAACCCCCCCGAAGGGGAGATTGGTCAAGTGTTTTAACCCCCCATTCGGGGGGTTGGTTTAGTTTCTTACTCAAGATTTTAAAACGCAACCAACCCCCCCGAAGGGGAGATTGGTCAAGTGTTTTAACCCCCCATTCGGGGGGTTGGTTTAGTTTCTTACTCAAGATTTTAAAACGCAACCAACCCCCCCGAAGGGGAGATTGGTCAAGTGTTTTAACCCCCCATTCGGGGGGTTGGTTTAGTTTCTTACTCAAGATTTTAAAACGCAACCAACCCCCCCGAAGGGGAGATTGGTCAAGTGTTTTAACCCCCCATTCGGGGGGTTGGTTTAGTTTCTTACTCAAGATTTTAAAACGCAACCAACCCCCCCGAAGGGGAGATTGGTCAAGTGTTTTAACCCCCCATTCGGGGGGTTGGTTTAGTTTCTTACTCAAGATTTTAAAACGCAACCAACCCCCCCGAAGGGGAGATTGGTCAAGTGTTTTAACCCCCCATTCGGGGGGTTGGTTTAGTTTCTTACTCAAGATTTTAAAACGCAACCAACCCCCCCGAAGGGGAGATTGGTCAAGTGTTTTAACCCCCCATTCGGGGGGTTGGTTTAGTTTCTTACTCAAGATTTTAAAACGCAACCAACCCCCCCGAAGGGGAGATTGGTCAAGTGTTTTAACCCCCCATTCGGGGGGTTGGTTTAGTTTCTTACTCAAGATTTTAAAACGCAACCAACCCCCCCGAAGGGGAGATTGGTCAAGTGTTTTAACCCCCCATTCGGGGGGTTGGTTTAGTTTCTTACTCAAGATTTTAAAACGCAACCAACCCCCCCGAAGGGGAGATTGGTCAAGTGTTTTAACCCCCCATTCGGGGGGTTGGTTTAGTTTCTTACTCAAGATTTTAAAACGCAACCAACCCCCCCGAAGGGGAGATTGGTCAAGTGTTTTAACCCCCCATTCGGGGGGTTGGTTTAGTTTCTTACTCAAGATTTTAAAACGCAACCAACCCCCCCGAAGGGGAGATTGGTCAAGTGTTTTAACCCCCCATTCGGGGGGTTGGTTTAGTTTCTTACTCAAGATTTTAAAACGCAACCAACCCCCCCGAAGGGGAGATTGGTCAAGTGTTTTAACCCCCCATTCGGGGGGTTGGTTTAGTTTCTTACTCAAGATTTTAAAACGCAACCAACCCCCCCGAAGGGGAGATTGGTCAAGTGTTTTAACCCCCCATTCGGGGGGTTGGTTTAGTTTCTTACTCAAGATTTTAAAACGCAACCAACCCCCCCGAAGGGGAGATTGGTCAAGTGTTTTAACCCCCCATTCGGGGGGTTGGTTTAGTTTCTTACTCAAGATTTTAAAACGCAACCAACCCCCCCGAAGGGGAGATTGGTCAAGTGTTTTAACCCCCCATTCGGGGGGTTGGTTTAGTTTCTTACTCAAGATTTTAAAACGCAACCAACCCCCCCGAAGGGGAGATTGGTCAAGTGTTTTAACCCCCCATTCGGGGGGTTGGTTTAGTTTCTTACTCAAGATTTTAAAACGCAACCAACCCCCCCGAAGGGGAGATTGGTCAAGTGTTTTAACCCCCCATTCGGGGGGTTGGTTTAGTTTCTTACTCAAGATTTTAAAACGCAACCAACCCCCCCGAAGGGGAGATTGGTCAAGTGTTTTAACCCCCCATTCGGGGGGTTGGTTTAGTTTCTTACTCAAGATTTTAAAACGCAACCAACCCCCCCGAAGGGGAGATTGGTCAAGTGTTTTAACCCCCCATTCGGGGGGTTGGTTTAGTTTCTTACTCAAGATTTTAAAACGCAACCAACCCCCCCGAAGGGGAGATTGGTCAAGTGTTTTAACCCCCCATTCGGGGGGTTGGTTTAGTTTCTTACTCAAGATTTTAAAACGCAACCAACCCCCCCGAAGGGGAGATTGGTCAAGTGTTTTAACCCCCCATTCGGGGGGTTGGTTTAGTTTCTTACTCAAGATTTTAAAACGCAACCAACCCCCCCGAAGGGGAGATTGGTCAAGTGTTTTAACCCCCCATTCGGGGGGTTGGTTTAGTTTCTTACTCAAGATTTTAAAACGCAACCAACCCCCCCGAAGGGGAGATTGGTCAAGTGTTTTAACCCCCCATTCGGGGGGTTGGTTTAGTTTCTTACTCAAGATTTTAAAACGCAACCAACCCCCCCGAAGGGGAGATTGGTCAAGTGTTTTAACCCCCCATTCGGGGGGTTGGTTTAGTTTCTTACTCAAGATTTTAAAACGCAACCAACCCCCCCGAAGGGGAGATTGGTCAAGTGTTTTAACCCCCCATTCGGGGGGTTGGTTTAGTTTCTTACTCAAGATTTTAAAACGCAACCAACCCCCCCGAAGGGGAGATTGGTCAAGTGTTTTAACCCCCCATTCGGGGGGTTGGTTTAGTTTCTTACTCAAGATTTTAAAACGCAACCAACCCCCCCGAAGGGGAGATTGGTCAAGTGTTTTAACCCCCCATTCGGGGGGTTGGTTTAGTTTCTTACTCAAGATTTTAAAACGCAACCAACCCCCCCGAAGGGGAGATTGGTCAAGTGTTTTAACCCCCCATTCGGGGGGTTGGTTTAGTTTCTTACTCAAGATTTTAAAACGCAACCAACCCCCCCGAAGGGGAGATTGGTCAAGTGTTTTAACCCCCCATTCGGGGGGTTGGTTTAGTTTCTTACTCAAGATTTTAAAACGCAACCAACCCCCCCGAAGGGGAGATTGGTCAAGTGTTTTAACCCCCCATTCGGGGGGTTGGTTTAGTTTCTTACTCAAGATTTTAAAACGCAACCAACCCCCCCGAAGGGGAGATTGGTCAAGTGTTTTAACCCCCCATTCGGGGGGTTGGTTTAGTTTCTTACTCAAGATTTTAAAACGCAACCAACCCCCCCGAAGGGGAGATTGGTCAAGTGTTTTAACCCCCCATTCGGGGGGTTGGTTTAGTTTCTTACTCAAGATTTTAAAACGCAACCAACCCCCCCGAAGGGGAGATTGGTCAAGTGTTTTAACCCCCCATTCGGGGGGTTGGTTTAGTTTCTTACTCAAGATTTTAAAACGCAACCAACCCCCCCGAAGGGGAGATTGGTCAAGTGTTTTAACCCCCCATTCGGGGGGTTGGTTTAGTTTCTTACTCAAGATTTTAAAACGCAACCAACCCCCCCGAAGGGGAGATTGGTCAAGTGTTTTAACCCCCCATTCGGGGGGTTGGTTTAGTTTCTTACTCAAGATTTTAAAACGCAACCAACCCCCCCGAAGGGGAGATTGGTCAAGTGTTTTAACCCCCCATTCGGGGGGTTGGTTTAGTTTCTTACTCAAGATTTTAAAACGCAACCAACCCCCCCGAAGGGGAGATTGGTCAAGTGTTTTAACCCCCCATTCGGGGGGTTGGTTTAGTTTCTTACTCAAGATTTTAAAACGCAACCAACCCCCCCGAAGGGGAGATTGGTCAAGTGTTTTAACCCCCCATTCGGGGGGTTGGTTTAGTTTCTTACTCAAGATTTTAAAACGCAACCAACCCCCCCGAAGGGGAGATTGGTCAAGTGTTTTAACCCCCCATTCGGGGGGTTGGTTTAGTTTCTTACTCAAGATTTTAAAACGCAACCAACCCCCCCGAAGGGGAGATTGGTCAAGTGTTTTAACCCCCCATTCGGGGGGTTGGTTTAGTTTCTTACTCAAGATTTTAAAACGCAACCAACCCCCCCGAAGGGGAGATTGGTCAAGTGTTTTAACCCCCCATTCGGGGGGTTGGTTTAGTTTCTTACTCAAGATTTTAAAACACAACCAACCCCCCCGAAGGGGAGATTGGTCAAGTGTTTTAACCCCCCATTCGGGGGGTTGGTTTCGTTTCTTACTCAAGATTTTAAAACGCAACCAACCCCCCCGAAGGGGAGATTGGTCAAGTGTTTTAACCCCCCATTCGGGGGGTTGGTTTAGTTTCTTATTCAAGATTTTAAAACGCAACCAACCCCCCCGAAGAGCTCCAAAAGGAGCGCTCTGCTCTAGTAATACAAAATGAAGAGTTACTGACTGTTGAAATAGATGGTACATACGGTTACTGCTCGGCGTTAAAGGTTTAATCATGCAATAAAAATATATTTGCTACAAAAATTCTTTACTCTTATTTCAAGTTGTGGTTAATATGTTTAAGGTCTTCGGCGGCCCGTGTATTTCCAGTATGACATGGGAACGGCAGACACAGTTTCTAAAACGGTGGATGCTTTGCTAAATGATTGGTCACAGATTGTTCACCTTTACACAGTGGTTGAAGATCTTGCTGAATATTTTCGGATTGGTGAGTGCAGTTACGTTGTGCATCGGAGTTCTTTTGACGCAGGCGCTGAAAATAAAATTCTTTGGTTTTTGACAAGTTTTTCATTAAAATAAAGTGTGTGTCATGTGTCATGAATATTGGTTTCCAAAATATACAAATTTATTAGTTTTTGGATTCAAGCAAGACACATAATGGCTGTTGGTTGCACAGCAGCGTGGATTATCATATGACAATTAAACCATTGCTGGTGAATCTTTAATACTTGAAATATTCACTTTCTCTCGCTGGTTTCATGACTTCATTTAATTTTTTTTTTTTTAGAAAAAGTGTTTTAGATGTTTGTTTCGTTTTAATGGTATTTAAATTATCAGACTTTGCACATCCAAGCTAAAGACTTACTTTTACAAATGTTTTAAGTATTAAGATATCCGTCTTCTGGGTTATTGTGCTGTGTAGTCTGGTCGATGTTAACCAACGTTTCAGAGGTCATACTGCCTCCGTCATCAGGGCGATGAAGATTTCTGTCTTTCTCTTACTCACCGCTGTGAGAACCTCAAGTCTTACATTTTAAGTATTCATCATCAGTATATCCATGACCTTGAAAACCTCAAATTTCACAATATCTAAACTGTTTTCTGTAATCCATAAATTAAGGATTAATTTTGGGACATATCAGATATATAAACCATGTGTGTTATGTGAAGACTTTAGGGATATATTAATATTTTAATGGTTATTTAGTATGCTTTATAAATTGCTTGCTTAAAAAGATACATTTATTTTGCAGAGAAGTACAACTTGTCAAATATGGTAACAATTAAGTCCTACAGCTATAGCCGTCTCGTTCTTGGGTATGGGCCTGACCGTGGTGCCACTGTTACAGTGGACTGGAATAGCTCTGATAAAGCATTTAGACTTATATTTGGTAAGCAGTAGACACTATTTTACACTGTAGCATTAATTCTAGCATATGAAGAAAGTTTGACGACAGTAATGCCTGTAACTGAAATGTACAATGAATTATACAGATGTTGAACTTGGTCTCGTGTTGTATGGGAGAAGCAAAGAATTGAAAATGTTACGAAAAAGACGTTCCAAGTGGAATATGTAAATTTAAGAGGGTTGAACCAATAGGGTAATGAAAAATAATAAACATTACGCTGTGTATTCTTTATCTAATACTGAGGGCATTATAAAACTTATGTTAGAGTACCTCATTAGTCAGAGGCCATAGGACAACTTGTTATTTGACAAAATATTCATAAATATAAAAAGATGAAAACTTGTAAATCACGTTTACAATGTCAGGTGTTAGAATTTTGTTTACCTAGGACAAGCCATGGTACTACACTGTTCGTATCATCAGTAGTAAAATATTTTGGATATGTTTCTCATGTCGATATGAGATTTGATAATTGTTCCTATTTTTCTGGTTTTGTTCATTTCATGTTTCCTGTAGTGACTGTCTCTCCTTCACTACCGCTTACCCCTATTGTGGGAACACATCCCACTTTTGCTGTCATGTCAATGTGGTAGCATTGCCATAACAGTATTTTGAAGGCAGATTCACCTGAGCGAATCTTATTACTTCCAGATTCAAGATATGTTTCTTGTCCCAGAAAATGTTGAAGCTGCTACACAAAGAAATGTGTTTGTTTTGTACCATATATTTTAGTAGCTTATATAATTAATTTACAGGTGCTACGAACAACTGCGTGAATGCTCATTCTCTGATGAGGGAGCAGTTGGAGGCACATCTGAACCGGCACCGTAACTTGGCGCAAATTGTTCATATCCTTCACGAGACGTACGAACCCCTTATTTCTATAAGTAAACTTCCAACAATTCCACAGTTAGGGGTTCACAATCAGGTAAGTTAACACAAATAGTAACATCAAGTTAAACAATTATGTAGTTTAATTTTCACAGTACGATGGAGGGGAGATTAAAATTGTATAAAAACTAGTTCATTTACCCATTTCTTTCCCCAAGTTTCTTTTAAAACAAACTGTGCCAAAATAATGAAATTCATTTCTTGTATCATGCATTTTTAAAAGATATGTTATTTTTAAAGTGGATTTGAACTCTGATAAACTGCATTTGACGTTTTAATTTAATGCCTGTCAGCTACGAGGTCTAAGAACATCCTGTATCTTGGTAATTAAGCCTGTCTGGTCCCACATGCTTTATAGCTTTCATGTCCAGTTTTTAGTGTAGAATAATGTTATATAGGGTCTTTGATCATCAGGTTCAAATATTACTTATTACTTTAAAATATTTGTGATTTTGCTGAAGAAATAAAAATTGACAGTGGAACCACGGTTCCCTAGTTAACGTTGAATAACGTTTAACTGTAGAAGTATATTTGTACTGAAATAAAATTTTATTTACACATTAATGTATACCTTTACATCTTATCTATACGTGACATCATCCGCCAACAGCTTATCTACGTGTTGCATCACGTACTCAACACACTCACTCTAGAACCGTTCTTTGTTACTAAATAAATGGCCAAAACTCCTAAACCGTAAGAATTAGCTGAAATCTGTTTGCAAATTTGAAAAGCTCATGTTTATTTACGTATTTCACTCGCCATATGTCGGATCTAACTCTTACGCTTTAGACGTGGCAAGCGGTTGAAGTTAAGAAACGAGGGTATATTTATTACATGTTTTGGGTAATTATTTCAACAATTTATAGAATAAAGTAAACATCATATAGAAAAAGCCCTTTATTTACTCTTTAATTTACATATAGGTTTATATTCTCTATCTTACATAGGTCACGAGTTATTGGCATTTGAAGAAGTTACACACCAGCGTTACCTTATGTCTTACAGTTTCCGTCGAGTGTACCGTGATTTTATAAACGTTATTCAACGTTAAATAAATATAAAATTGATGGTTAAAATGCTATTTTTAACTTTAAAACTAGTTAGAACTTGTGAAGAGTGCTGGCTCAGCTTGGTGAGTCCAGGTGTATTTGTGAAAGTTTTTTTATAGTATTTGTAATTTGTATTATGTTATATGTATCAGAACTAACATTTGATCCTGATTACCATATTGGGCTGAAACATGTAGTTAAACAACAAATTAATTAGTGACCAATGAATGTGTGTAAAAGTGACAGAAATAATTATCAAGAATCGACATAATATACCAGGATGCTGTGCTACAGAATTATACTGGGTACTTTTTGACATCTTGTATACTTGACAGGAAATACCTTATAAAAAGTGGATTATATGTTTTCTAATATGTTTCTTTACAGAGACCACAGGTTCCAGTACAGACATTTACAATTATGCCTCAGTCACCTACTTTATTGAGGCTTGCTTATCAAGGCATGTACTGTTTAGAACTGAGGCTGCGGGGTGGTGGCTTGGTTAGTCTACGAGATGGAGCATATAGTCGTTTTGATCGCAGTAATGTTGTGGATGAATTCACTCCAACTCAAGGATTAAAGGTTATCTTTTCTTTAATTATATTTATCTATTATTATAGTGTTTTCTGAGGTTTACAATTACAGTTAGTTACTTTATACACAGTCCTGCTGGCTGCGTACCGCTAAACCCTTAACCCTGGAGTTGAAATCCAGCCAGCAGCCCCATAGTATAGGGGTTCAAATCACTTTTTCACATACTGCAGAGGTTGGTTCTTGCTGGCTGTTTTTGTTTTAATACATTAGTAGTTCCAACACACTGTCCTGTCTCTTTCAGGCTTTTCTCTCAAAGTATGTGGATGAAACGGCCGTATTCAGGCGCCGTTCTCAGTCAGAAGATGACAATCCTCCTTCACCAATTACAATGGACTCTGATGGTGGTGGTGGCCCTATGTCCTTTCTTGGAGCACATCATCGTGGGCCACAGTCACCAGCACAGCAGAGAGAAGGCGGTCTTCGTTTCCATCCTCCCCTGACACCTCCTTCAGGAAGCAATCCACACACACCTGCTAGCCCACATCCTGCTATGTCACAGGTATTTATAATTTAGACTTGTTCTTTTAATCTTATCTAAAGAATTGGCCACTATACATAGTCATATCAATTGACTGAAGTGTAGATTTAAAATAAAATGTGATTTTATTAGTGACAGTTCTCAACTAACTTATCTGCTGTGTTAGTAATGAGGTTGGTCTGGAAATGGATGCATTGAAAATAAGTGTATTTTCGTGTCCTGTCGCCGTAGTGCAGTGCAAATTCTTAGTAAATAAAGATAGCAATTACTGTATTTATCTGAATACCACATGCAGTTGTTTTCTAAAATGTTTGCGTAGAAACCAGATGCTCATCATATTTGAAGATTCATTTTGTATACTGCGGAGTGCTACATGAGGGAATATACAGTACAGAGCTGTAGACTTCAGAACTTCCCCTCATCTTGCGACAGGACATTTTGTGTTAAGGGTGGGTGTGTATTGTCACTTATCAGTTACTACAAGACAGTCCTTGCTCTATGTAGCATTTTTCTTTATCACAGCAGCATTTCAATGCTGTTAGGGCAAACAGTAATTATTTTGTTTGTGTCAGTTTACTTGGCAACTGCAGTTTGGCTTGACTAGCTTACGAGGAAGAGCTGGTCATGCGCTGAAACTAGAAAAACAGTAGTTATGACAAACAAGGAATGCTTTCCAGCCTCCCCCACCCCATTTTTGACATGCTGGAACGCACAACAGTTAACTCTGTCACTGAACGAATGGTGCAGGTTAGATTTACTGGAGCCAAGAAACAACGCTGCACCGTAATGCTAGCTGTCACAGCGACAGACTGAAGTTTCATCCTTATATGGTATTTAAACTGAAGACGATGGCAAAGTAGAAGTTCCTTCGGAGAGTGTGAGTCGAGGGAAGTGGCTGGATGACTGAAGATGTAGTTGACGATTGTATCAAATCTGTATGGTTTTGATGGCCAGGTGTACTGTTACACCAGTGATCTATGCTCGTTTTAGACATCTTCATGGATCAGAC